GCCAAACAGGACCATCTTTTTTGAACTGAAACACGTCGCAGTATCGTTTTGACCATGCGCTTACAGGACAGTCCATATGAGGCTTATACTCGATTTTGCAGTGATTTGCAGGCAAAAATAGCCGGTGTGGAGTGAAGGAAATGCAATATTAATACACTCTGTATGTTTCTAACCAGATTATCAATATTATCCCAGGAAGAAAAGTCGTCGTATGGTCGTGATTTCCCTCGGGCGTTCCTCGACTGAGTAATCGGAGTCCCGGTTCACGTGGCGATCCGGTCGTTCGCACGTGTCCTAAAAAGCTGTAAACACCCGTTGAGGGTGGGCCTGGAGCCTCAGCCACTTTGCGCACTGTGTAATTATGGGCTTGACAGGCAATCGCTACTTGATCTCCAACTTGCACGAGGTTTTAATATGATAATAATGCTGCCAGGACCACAGTCACACGGTTATTAAATTGTTTTCTAGGGGCCAAACATCGTACTTAACTTTTTGTCTCGCGTGCGAATCTGATCTTCATGGGATTTAGGCGGGCACTTGCACGCCACAGACTCAAAACGGCAAGTTTCCCAACACAGTACAATTGAGGGCATTTTTCCTATGGAATACAGCCTGACTTAGAGGTGTGCGATTCGAATCTTTTTAGTGATTCGTACCAATCAAGCCAATACTCAGCTCATGCTTGGCCAAGTACGAGATCGTTCTCAAGCAAGAGAGACGATTTATAAACAGTACTTCGTGAATTGTCGGCGAATTATCGGTCGAGTATAGATGTATAGGGACTTTCGTATTTATTTGGCAATTTTATATTGGAACTATTGGAGAAATTGGCGAATCTGAGATGGCGTCAATGTTATTATGTAAATATGTCTTTTGAATCGCTGATGGACTGGGGCCGATCACGAAGATTATCGGACACAAGAGTTATAAACCCTGTAACTAATTGGTCAGCGAAGTAAATGCTTAGCTGCACCAATTCAGCAGTTTTAGTTGATAAGTACCACTTGCAATCTTAGCATAAGTTCAGTTATAAGTTATCAGTTGTCACAAGTACACTATTGCTGTAACTCGTCGTTCTGGGAAAAAATCTTTTTTAAAAGGCTTTCCCTTGATTAAAGAATTTAACTGGCGCAGTCGGTAGGATTTAAATTCAGACGGTATCGACAAAAATCGCGATCC